TTAATAGTAATATATATATAATAAAATAATATAGTAAAATAATATATATATATATATATATATATATATATCATAAAATAATACCTGTATAATTGTCGTTGGATCAATTTTATCTCCAGAAACTATGATTCCATTAATAAAGAAAACATAAGAATACCAAAACGATAAATATCTGCTTTTTTCCCACCTCTGCCTTGTATACTTGGAAAATCTGGCTCAGATTTAACTAATGCACATGTTTGATAAATATCAGATAATCTTTTATTCAAAGAATAATCTGACAATCTAACCATTCCTGTGTTATCAATGTAGATACTAGTATCACGTAAATCCTTATGGACAACATTATTTTCGTGAAGATACCTTAATGCAGAGAGGATTCCAGTTGCTAGATATCGTAAAAAATCGATGTTTACCGGGATGTTTTCCAATAAGAAAAAAGAACAACTGCTACCTATCTGAAATTCGGTAAACAATTAATTCATTTAATTCTCATTAAATTGATACTTAAAATTGCATAATTATTTTACGTATATTTCATTATAATATTAAAATATAATACACATATTTATATAAAGCGTTTAAATTGCAATTTTAAATGTATAAGATAAATTGCAGATACATTAAATGCATAAAATAATAAATTGAATTAATTAATAGAACTTATATACCATAGAAAAATATATATTTTTTTATATATTATATATAATTAATAATTTTACTTTATATCCTATATTTATATAATATTTTCTTGCTATTACATTTATTGGTTACTTTTAAAGAAATTATTATTGCATAAATACGAATCTTTCGTCTAAATCACAATTATCCATGTATTTATCATTGTTTTTACCACGAACTCTTGAAGAACATAGATAAGTATATCATCTTCTTCTTGCAGATACTTCATATTTAAATAATGTACAAGATTTGGATGATGTAATTTATGTAGATGGTTTACTTCTTGTTCTAAACTTCCTACTTGTTTCATAATATGTTGAATATTATTTTCATCAATTTTGTTATTCACTTTCAATATCCATTCACTAATCGCAAATAATTCTCCAGTTGTCATATCAACACCTGCATAAACAACCGATCCTTTAGTACTATGACCCATACATTTTGCTCTATACACCTGTCGTTCACCTATAGGAATGATTATAAAAAAATGAATGAAAATTGTAATTATTTCTTCTTTATAATTATAATGATTAATTTATAAAATAATAATAATATTAAATATGTTAAAATTTATAATCCCTTGGATTTAAAACTAGACGCAAAAATACATCGAAAATAGAAAAATCACATCGCTTTTATCCAAAAAAAAAGACAAATGATTTATGTACATTTTTACTATTTTTTTATTTTGAATATTAATAAAAATAAAAATTTAAATAAAAATAATTCAATCGTATACCTTTATTATGATCAAAATGCAATAATTTCGTTCCTTTATGTTCGCAAAGGAAACCATCGGAACTTTCAGAGCTACTAGCACATCTTCTTCGAGAATAAATTCGTGATCTCTCTTGAGGAGATGACGGTATCGATTGAGAGAGATTATTCGATCGTTCATTACATAAACGAATAGATTCTTTTCGGTTACGAAGCTCAGCTTTTAAAGCTTCTTGTCTTTTCTGAATTTCATCCTGCAGTACCTGAAATTTATTTGTATAATGAAATATTCATAATTAAACAGATATTACATATAGATATTTAAAATATCTAACAGCGATTTTATCAGCACAAAAAAAATACAGTACAAATAATACAAATTTTTACTGTAATTATAATTGACAATTTTTAATTATTTATTAAAAATATGATTCGATTAAATAAATATCATAAAAAAATCTGAGATCAATGATCAAATATAATTACAAATATAAATACAATATTTTAAGGATGTTTAACCTGCCAATTTTATTGTTTTTAATTTGAATTATCGAATTTTTTACTTTTTACTATAAAAATACAGTAACAAATGAAATTACTGTATCGTAACAAAAATATTTTGTTACAAAATTAAATTGCAATACTGCAATAATAAAAATATATACATTAAGAATTGCAGTAACTGTAGAATTACATGTAGGATAATATTTGAAGGAAAATTTGAATATGAAAATTTTTTTCATTTCTTTTATGAATTGATACTTGTTCTAATTTTAAGAAAAAAGATGATTTTGCATGAGAAAATAAATCGAGGATATAATTATAATAAAAAATTCATTATATTAATCAATTTGACTTTATTTTTGATAAAAATAATTATCATTTATTTAATACATACCTAGATCGCACTTTCTAATTTTAGTTGCATACTATCATTATGGTATTAATATTTATGATCATACAATATAGAAATAGATTAAATTTTGTTTAAAAAAAAAAAGTGAAAAGATAAAAACAATTAGAAAATTGATATTTAATCAATATTATCATCTTTTGTCACAATTATTATATATATATTTTTTATCTTTTATTTTTTCATCTTATTTTCGATCGAAAAATCATTCCATAAATTTTTGAATAGATATATATATCTATTCATATTTGATTTTGATTTATCTTTTGATATACATTGTATATATAAACACAAAATATAAATGATCTTTTATTAATTTTTAAAAATTTCATTGTATAGATGAATTATACAATATTACAATATTATAATATAGAATTTTTTTTCCAATAAAAGATATTTTTCGTAAAATTTAACATGATGATCATGACAATATTTTTAATTTAAAAAGTTTTTTATCAAGAACTTTTTAATTAAGAACATTGAGGAATATAAGGAAAATAAATTGCAATAATAATTACGAATAATAGATATAAGATAGTGCTATCGGAAATGATTATTTTCTAGCAATAATGTACTCAGACATAACGAAATAATTAATCGTTTAAAAAAAGTATTACTTACCATTTCTTTTTTATATAATTACTACTAGAATCCTCATTCTTGATCAATCAGGATAATCTTGAATTTCTCTAAGTACACTTACTCGTAATAAATTTTTAATGTATATTGACTTAACTTGTAATTTTATGCACGATGACTCGCTTCCGACCTATAAAAATTATTCCTCCTCATCGATTCAGCAACGATTTCGATTTAATTATGTTATCTTTCGTCATCTTATTCTCAATATTTTCAAAGATCGATAGTATTTCTAAATTTCATTTTTCATTTTCAAACACAATCTATCGTATATTTCTTCCAATTGTTTCTTCGATTCTTCGTATAAAAACATACATATATAATATCATATATATCAGAAATATAATATACAGGTTTTGGATTTCTTCTTTTATACATATATTTTTTTTTTTCACAATTTTATATCCAAAAAATCGTTTCCGAAAAATAAATATCACATAATATATATAGTTCTAAGTTTCATTCAACAAATCAATACAATCATTCGTAAATATATTCATAATAATATATTCGTAAACGGTATCATTTTAAAAATTGAAAAAAATATAAGATTTTATTTTGTATACTGTATAATAAAAAGATATCTTCTTCAATTTCTTTATTATTTTCTCGATTGGAAAATAATTGTGTGACATTTTTAAGAAGAAATATAATGTTGACATCATTAACATCATAGTTATTCAATTTATTCAGCGTTAGAAAATGAGAATTAAAGCATTCGTCAATAAGCCTTGTATCATTTTCTAGTTGATACATTTTTATCAATTTTTAATTTAAAATAATTTTTCAATCAAATATATTTTGAACTTTAAAAGCTTCTGCTTTATACACATATAAAAAACAGACAATTTGTTATGTTTTATATATTTTAACATTCTTGGTTTCTCATAACAATTTTGCGAAGAAAAAGGAACGATAGTTTGTGAATTTTATCAACGAAAATTCAACAATTACTCGATCTTTTTTCATTTTATTTTTCATATATTTTTTTCTTTATCATGCGAATTCGATTCGAAAAAAATATCTCAAGTTTATCTTATCTATTGTATAAATGTCCAAATCTGTATTATTCAAGCGTTGTGAAAAGTTCTCGAGAAATTTTTCGTATGAATTTATAACATTGTTATATCGATGGATAAAACTTAATTATAATTGCATATAATTATAATTGCTGTAACGTTTCTCGAATCTTTCATCTTGAATATTTATCTTGAATGAATATTTATCCATTACTAGATAAAAACATCGAAGATTCTCCTTTTTTTTTTTTCTTCAATATTATGTTAATGATATGCGATCATCGATGGTTTTTACATTTTATTCTAGAAATCACGTATACATAAAATACTAAAATATTTAAAAAAAATCGTGCACCTAATCCAGAAAATTTGAAAAAAATTAAAATTAAATTTTTTTATTAATTAATAAAATGTATATTATTAATATTATTTATATAGCACTGAAATTTAGAACATATTTAATTTATTATTTACAAATATTTATATAATAATATTTTAATAGAAAGACGATCATTCAAAATATTTTTGATTCTATTATATATAATAATAATAGATACAAGAGACGAGAATATTTTTTATGTTTTAAAATATTTTACATTTCGTGAAAAAAAAGTATCGTGAATAAAAGAACTGTTAGAATTTTATCTTCTAAGATTACATTTATTTTTTATAAAATTGGCAGATCAAACATCCTTGATATATAATAATTTATTTATTTATATTGGATAACATCGATAAATTATGTTCAAAATATATTCGATAGGATATTTTGAGCAACTTTTTCTTATTCAAAGATAGTATAAATAATACATAAATAAGTACATATATATGTTACAACAAATAACCAATGGTCGGATTAGTTTTCGTGTTATACGCAAAAGTATCATTAACATCGGTATATATTATTATATATTTTAACATTTTTTATGTAACTCATTGAAACTCTAATCTATCCTCTATATCAAATGTTCAAAAGAGCATTCTATGTTTTAAATTATCTTTTATCAAATTCGTTATTGATTTTTTCCTATAAACGTTCTAATTATGTTCTACATTTAGTATTTTAAATATGCAAATAATACATTATTACTTAATTTGAGGTGCCAAGCTATTTATTTACATGTAGCTAAAACGTTTGAATGTCAAGCGTTTAACGCATTCTGTTATAAATAAGCGATTATATATATATATATATATATATATATCTGTCTTTAATTGAGAAAAGATATATGCACGATTGTGCAATAAAAAGTTGATTATTGTATCAAAATTTAATACAAATCCAATCATTTGAGCATCTCATCATCGACGAGCAATATGTAATGTGAAAAATATTTTTGCATATAACTCGATATACATATTTAAATTCATCTTTATAATTATTAACTCGTATATGTATACGTATAAAATTTATATATATACATATATATATTTTCTACTTTTTTTCCTTAGAAAAAAAACGTAATCTTATTTAACGTAGACACTGATATACATGTATCTAACCTGTCTTTCTTTATCCTCTTTTAATTGTTTTTCCAACATTTCATATTCAATTTTTTCTTGACGTCGTGAAACCATTTCTTCGTAAAAGCTACTATACCTTGGTTTATTATTCTCGTGCAAATATTTTTGAACATGTTGCGCTAATTCAAAAATCATTACTTCTCCCTGTAATCGTTTTGTTAATTCCACTAATTCAGTATATAATACTGCAACTTGTTGATGAGATAAACCTCTGCTATTTTTTAACTCTATGTTTGGTGTTCTGCAAAGCATTTAATAAAAATATTTTTGCAAAGATTACATACGTATAATTTTTAAAAACTTTTTTATTAAACTATATAGATTATTACATCTAAACTGTATAGATAATATATCTATATTTATGATGAAATTATATTAAAATCTGAATAATTTATCTTCATATTATCATTTTTTATGCGATCATACTTTCTAAATTTTCATACCATATAATTATCAAATATATATCGTGTATCAAATATATATTGAATTTTAATTAGTTTTCGATTATTTAAATATTCGAAGTAATTGTTTGAAATAGGAGATTTCTCATCGATTTCGATGATTTTTGAATATACGAAACCAATGTTGTAAAAATCAATGTTCCGAACGTTCTTTTTCTTTTGTGGATCCGAAAGAATCCATAGAATATCCAAAAATTTGGCATTGAATTTTAAGCCTATCATAATCCATGAGAAAGTAAATCTTTGATTTAGTTTATTTGTTATATGCTTGATAGCCCTATATTTACCTTAAACAGAGTAATGATAGTCATATGTTTACGCATACGCAGCTATGAATATATATAAACGAAGTTCTATTTAAATAATGACGATCTTTTTTCTTTCAAATATCGATATTCGCAACTGGTAATGAATCGATCTGTTGGCTGATCGATCGAATGTTTTCTTTCGATAATACCCTCTTACAAGAATCAATTCACGATTGTCATCTCATTCATAGTGCTTCGATATCATCTTTCATTTTTCATATGTAAATATCATGCGACTCGTCTTCGTATCATCAAATTTTTTTACACACGCATAAAAAGTAGTTCAAAATATTAATTTCTATATCAATCATCCAAAAATTATCGAAAGGATAATTCCGACAAGGAATTCCTTATTCCTTATATTAATATCTTAAAATAATACATCAAAGAAATTGATTCTTTATAAATATTGATTATTATTATCGATCAACTATGCGTAATATTCAAGAAAATATGGCAAATAGTTATGTATAAATATCGATAAATGAAACTATTGATTGTAATATTGTCAATCTGATAATTAGGAAAATATTCGAAGATGAATAATCGAGATTTTTATTTGCTGTTATGCAAACAATTAGAAAAACAAATCATGCAACTATAATACAATTCGTTAATACATCTATTTATGAATTTTGGCCAGGAAAGAATGGTGAAAAAAAAATATTATTATTAATATTGTACTACAATAAATACACAAATATAGCAATAATAGTCATAAATATGTTGAAAAAAACCAAACATTTAATGATATTTTATCCTAATAAGATATATTTGACTTGTTTAGTCCAATCTGGTATCAGTCTCAAGTAGATATTCAAAAGTACATACCAGTTTTAATATAAAACTTTGTTTTTTTTCATTAAATTTCAATGCAATAAGGAAAATATAATTACAAATTATAAAGATGAGATCAAGTCTGTAGAAAAATAAAATTGGAAAATGATTGTTTAATTTATACGTTAATAAGGAATTGCATGCTAATTGTGTTGCGTTGTATTTACATAAATTTTATATATATATTATATTATGCGGTAATAAAAATAATAAAATGATATATATAATTATTTCTTATAATAATTTGTATAGTACGCGTATAAATATATCGATTAAAATTACATAAAAAATATTATATAAAAAAATTATATAAACATTTTAATTTTTATGGAAATATTACGTTTATTCTATATGTATATTACGTATTTGCAATATATTTACATAATTTTTCATAATCTATTTACTAAATTTAAAAAATACTATTTAAAAAATACTTTTATTAAAAATACTGTTTACTATTATTTATTATTTTAAAAATAATTTACTATTAAAAAAAAAATGATTATTCGTCTATATATCCATATATGTAACTTTTATATGAAATCTTTACATATATATGTGTGTATGTATGTATGTATATATGTATGTATGTATGTATGTAT